GCATATCATCAACGTAAACTTCCATGCTCTTCCCAATCTGTTCGGCGAACATTGAATTGACCAGTATCTGATAAGTCACTCTTGCATTCTTTAGGCCGAAGGGCATGACTTTATAGCAATATAGTCCCCTATCAGTAGTAAAGGCGGTGTGTTCTTGGTCCGGAGGGTTCATGAGGATTTGGTTATATCCTGAGTAAGCATCCATGAAACTCAAGAGTTCACACCCTGCCGTATAGTCTATAAGTCTGTCTATGAGAGGAAGAGGAAAACTATCTTTTGGGCATCTTTTGTTTAGGTCGGTGTAATCGACACACATTCTCCATAAGACCTTTTGGAGAAGGAGACTTGGTCGGATTTTTCTTAACAATGACAACATTTGCTACCCACGTTGGATAATTGACTTCGCGGACGAAGCCTATGCCTTTGAGTTTTTCAACTTCTGCCTTTATTGCCTCGTACCGTTCAACGTCATAAGATCTTCGCTTCTGTCTCACTGGCTTGGTCTTGGGGTCAATACTTAAGCGATGACAGATGATATCGGGAGAAATGTATGGCATGTCCTCGTATGACCAAGCGAAGACCTCAATATTCTCTTGCAAAAAAAAGATCAATGCCAACCAAATGGGTGGTGACAAGGTGGTGCCAATCTTCACCATACGATCTGGATAATCTTTTGAGATAGAAACCTTCTCCAACTCTTCAGCAGGTTGTGCTTGCTGGGTGAAAGAGTCATCTCGAAGATCGTTGGGTTGACTGTTGCCATCGTGAAGATCCAAGTTGGCTTCGTCTGGGCTGGTCTTTATAACTTGGTCATGTATAGAAAGGGTTTCATTGGGCACAGGCAGGTGTTGTTGCTTAACCGAAGTGTTGTAACATGATCATGCACTAAGTTGATCTCCTCTGATGTAACCATTGCCATAAAGGGTTGGAAATTTCATCAACAACATATGTGTGGATACCATGACCTTGAGATCATTGATGCATGTGCGTCCGAATATGACATTGTATGCCGTTGGGCAATCAACCACTAGGAAGTTAGTGGTAATGGTAGCTGTGTAAGGGCATGTGCCAATGGTAAGAGATAAGTGTATGCTCCCCAAAGGTTGCACGATATCACCGGAGAAGCTTATCAGAGGGGAAATCGAGCGATCGAGCAAGTGTTCAGCTACATTAAGTGCCCTGAAAGCTTCAGCAAACATGATATTGACCGAAGCCCCCGTGTCTACCAGGATTCGTTGTACTTCAAAGTTCGCTATGTGAGCTTCCACAATCAGTGGGTCGTTGTGAGGGTAGATGATACCTTTTTCTTCCTCAGGGTAGAAACATATTGTATCCTAGTTAGGCTTTTGATACTTACCTCCCCTGATGTCTTCCACGTGAAACACTTGGTGGCCATACCTTAAAACTTGTTCACCATTTTTCATGGCCCTATTGGAAGATTTAGATATGGGTGTGCCACCACTTATGGAATATATCACATTCACCTAGCGTTGCTTACGATTACCTCTTGGAGGGTGAAGGAGGAATTGATCAATTTTTCCTTCACGTGCCAAACCTTCAATATGATCACAAATGGTGATACACTTCTCGCCGTCATGGCCGTTATGCTCGTGGTAGCAGCAAAACGTGCCCGTGTTCTTCGTGGGCTTGTAATCCGGGTGCCTTAGCTTTGGCTTCGGTATCAGGTGTGCTATGCTGGGGTAAATAGCCACACATGTGGCGTTCAAAGGTGTGTATGCCTCATACCTCGGGGTAGGGGCTGTCCTGACATGTGCTTGACTCACTGTGTTGACTGCCTGGGGTCGGGGATTATCATGGCAATACCCTTGGTTATCGCGGTAATGTCCCTTACTCCTTTTACTAAAATGAGACTGGTGAGGATGGAAATCTTTCCTTTTGCCCTGAGATTGATATGTCTATTGACTTGGCAAAGTATTAAGTAAGGTAGGGGGAGGCACCGCTGCCGTTTGGAAGGTCGAGGTCTTCTCATTTGGTTGGATCTGGCTTCCACTCCCTACTTGCTGATAAGGGGTGGTTGTGTGGGGTTTCCCTTGATATGTCCTTGCCTCGGCGGAGACATGTTTGTAAGCCTGTGCCATCACATTAGAGTAAGTCTTCCAAGTGTTGGTATTTATCATGTACTTGAAGAAACAATCACGTAGGCCTGTCGTGAAGGCCTTAAGGGCGGTCTTGTCATCTGCCTCAGTGCAGCGAGAATACTTATGGCTGAAACGACTGGCATACTCTCGTAGTGACTCGTCTGGCTTTTGGCGAATAGTGTACAAGTCATTTGCAGAATGCAAGCGATCGGTCTGGAAGATGTGTTGAGAGACAAATAGTTTCCTCAGTTCATCAAATGAGTTTATTGTCTCAAGTGGAATACGGTAATACCAGTTTAGAGCTCCACTAGAGAGGGTGGAGGGGAAAAGAAGACATCACTCTTTGTCGGTGTGCATCTGATATGCCATGGTAGACTCAAAGAGGTTAAGGTGTTCAATTGGGTCTTCCCTTCCAGTATAGAGTTGTAAACCAAGCTTTTGTTTTGTCTTTGCTTAAAAGGGGTGTCGAGGATCCTCCTTGTGAGAGGGCCAGGCCTGGGTTGGTTCCAGTCAGGTATCTCGGCCTAACGTTCGACCTTCAACTTGTTTACTTCCTCAATGAGCTGTAGGACAATGGGGTTCTGAGTGAAGTCATGTACCATTGGGATTTTCTTTCGTAAGTCTCCATCGCCTTTTGGAAGTAGGAAAGTTTGAGCAAAGGCGTGTGATTTTTCCTTGGACTCGCCGTACTAACTTCTAGGGCGAGTATGTCGGAATACCTCAAAGTCCACTGTACCTTCATGTTCCTCTGGGACCTGTCGTTCCTTCCCCAGATTGGTAGCTGGCCTGGGTCGTGGGAGGGGACCGAGTCTTTCAGAAACCCTTGGGTCATTGATCTTTGAGCATATGTGGAGGGGATTCTCTCGACGTTGCTTTAGGAAGTCTCGGCAATCACGATAAACGGCTTTCGATCATTCCAACCCTTCTGCAATGAGGTGTCTTCCTCCACTTCTCCTGCTTCTGGTCGAAGCAGCTGGGTTGAGAGATGTCTCATGTTGATCAATGTTTTGATGATTAGCTCGCTCTTCATCAAGGATACCCATGTTGAAGAAATGTGACCCTCCATGTTGGAGGGCACCCAGATAATGGTTGATGTCCACAGGGGCAACGAACTCGCGTGTTTGAGTATGCCCAGTTTCGTGAAGCGTCTCAAATAGCTTCTCATACTGCTCCTGGAAGACCTCATTCTTCATTGCTATCTTGTTGTTCTGAGCTTCTAGCTCATCGACTTTAGCTTGAAGAGCAACCCTCTTTCCTTCCTTCTTTCGTTGCTTCGCACTAGGTGCAAGAGGGGTGTCATTCTGTGTGTTGTGGCTTCCTTCGCTCCCCATGTTAGAGAGGGATGCCTGGTCAAAAGAGAGTACGAATGGTGGAAACCAGCTTAACAAAGCTGAAAAGAGTGGGAATAAGTGTCGTTCCCACAAACAGTGCCAAATGTTGATGCACAAAATCAGCGAGGACTTTGGTACAACAGAAAGTGTTAAGTTTGTGACATTCGCTAAATCCGATCACTAGTGTGGGTAAGTATGTAAATAGATAGGGACAGAGAAGCAAACACAAGATGTACGTGGTTCACCCAGATTGGCTACATCCACGGAGTAGATGGGTTCTCATTAATTGTGAACGATTTACCCATAAGTTCAAGCTCTCCTTTTGTAAGTACTAGTGAATGATTTAGTACAAATGACATTCATAAATATTGTGAGAGAACGATCTCTTTATAGAATAGAGTTTCTAGTTTCATTTTAATATTGACACGTGTCGTGTTGTGATTGGCTTCTGATGTCGACACGTGTCGCGCTATGATTAGCCTCCTGGTTGGAGAGAAACTCTTCTGGATCCTTGATGGTACAATATTGACCGATACTCAGTAGTTTCGGAATTGGTCAAGTATGGTACAAACAAAGCTAAAAAGCTATTTCTGGATTAAAAGTTCAATTTTATTGATTTTTTTTATTTTAATTTTAACCTAAGGGTTGGAGATGGTCTAATAGATAAATGATTTAAAATCACAATATTATCCTTCAACAATAGTTGAAAATTACCAACTCTCACATAACAGCCTTGTGCACAGAGCCGATGGTGTAATATTAAGTCCAAACAAATATAACATAAAATAAAAACTATCAGACGCTCCAAAATATTTCATGCACACCAATTTTGTAAAAGCACATTTCTTTTGTTACAACATATTTGAGCGCCTATATAACATGTGAAAAGAACAATAGAAGCACCGATGGTCTACTGGGTTCGCTTCGCTAGTTAATCAAACTTGTTTTGATGAAATCAAATCAGCACATGAAACCTCAACTTCTCTTACTTCAAAACAATTCTTACTAAATCAACATAACAGTTTTTTTAATTTCACTTCCTACAGATTAGTATTCATTTTATGGACTACTACAAATCTTCACCAATGCAATCTAAAATATATTTCAAATTTCAACCAAATAATCTAAAATTTCAACCAATTAATCTGATAAGAAATGAAATGGTAATTTCAATCATCTTGCCACTGTTGATAGATTACTAAATTTTGGTAGAGGCAACCATAAAAGCAATGAATTCCTCAGCAATTAAAGCAAGTGCAAGGGGTGATCATATGTCAAATCCTCATGTGTTTCCTCAAGCCTTACCATCCGCTTAAACTACTTTAGTCTGCATCATAACTACTTTAGTCTGCATCATAACTACAGCCTAAAGAACATAGCAAGAACACGGTACATCGCTTTCAAAACAAACACTACACATAGAATGTGGATAACCACTGACGGCCAGTTTCAAGTTCAATAATAGATAGATTGTTAAGCAAAAATCTCTTCGGAACCAAGGAATGCTAAGCAAGCAACTCGAGATGACCAAGAAAAGAACAAGAGAAACAACAAACAGCCACACAAAAGAGAACATAAATCAAACTTTAATTCATTAATAACAAATATTCTTAAGTCTGACAACCAATTCAAGTTCAACAGCAGATCAGCTAAAACAAAAATATCTTCTTAAAAGTTGATGAGAACTCAGAAACCACTACTACTAGTACTCATCTTGGGCCAAATCATCGACTCCTGGAATGTTTGAATATCAGCCACTTAACGGTACTGCAAACAAAAAGTTTGAAAAATGAAACCCAATTACATTGTGGAAACGGTGTAATCTCAGCTCAGTAAACGGAATCAGAACACGATCAGTAGCTAAGGGTTCTCGAAGCCTTTACCTTGATGAAGCCGATTTCCTTGGCATTGCTGCGGAAGCACTGCCTGCAGCACATGAGGCCGTACTTCCTGATCAAACCATGAGGGTTTCCACACACGCGACTGTACAAAGGAACCAAAGTAAGCATACTCAATAACAATTTTAACAAAAACAAACCCAAAACAAGCATCAAATCAGAGCACAAAAATGCACGAATACACAAACCCAAAAATGCATCGAATCGGAACTCAATCCGAAATGTAGATACACAAAAAAACGTTCAAAGCATTCAACACATCCACACCAAAAATACAGAACCAAACTTTGTCAAATTGCTCTTTTGACATAAGAGAGGGACGATAATGAAATCCAATTGGTAAATCAAAATCCGCAACCCACAAAGCAGCATGAAAGATTTTACAACCCAAAAATGATGAGATTCGAATACCCCAGACAACACAATCTTTTCGGCAAACTGAATACGTAGCAGTAACACAGATAAATCTCAAAAAACTAACAAAGAAAGTTGAAATCATGAATCAAATTAGTAGGGTTGAAAAATGAGTTACCAGGTACGGGATCCAGGGCCGTAGTTCTTAGGGTGGGAGTTCCAGACGTTCGAGTGCCCCATGATTTCGTCGGCGGAAGCAGAAGCTCTGGCGGTCGCAGCGGATTCACTCAGGGGGGCGTGTAGGAGGACCTTGGTTTGCAGTTGGTATATATAGTAGGGAGAGTCAAAACCTAGGCTTCAGGAAGCACGGAGGTAATCTGGCCGGGTCAGAGCTTGGATAACCCTACTTTAAACAATCCGACCCGGATCTTGTAGAGAAATGGTATAGTTAGGCTTGAAATTTTTTGTCAAATTACCAAGCCAACCGAATTGATAACCGTACTATACTAATTTTGTGCCAATCTGTAATGGACAGTATTGTATCAAACCGAAATTTTATGATACGATATTGGTATTTGATACTATTACTACGCTATTACCATACTGTACCGAAAAATAATATAATTTTTTTTCTTTTTTTGGTCAAAAGATATATAATTATATAATGTATTTTTAATATATGATATATCTATATATTACTTTATCACCCTTAGCTTGCCTTTGATGAAGTGTTTGGCCTCTGAAATTTTGTAGACTGTTCTAAGATTTGATCACACCTTAAATAAAATCTAGACTGTTGATTTGATTTTACAAAACTCATAATTTATGTTTTAAAATGTAACATACAGTATATTTTTATTTTTTGAAGTTTAGATCCACTTCAATTTTGCTTTGGTTTGAAACTTTAACTTTTATTTGGATTGGGAACTTCTATTTGATTTGGTTTGTAATCTTAATTTCCACCATGAATCTTGATGCATCATTTGATTTATTATGTGTGAATTGTGAGTGATGAATGATCTATGAATTTAGGCTACAATAATGAGATAAAAGTACACAAAAAAAGTTTTGCCCTTAAATTGGGTTGGAAAAAAAAAATCAAATTTTAGCCCAAAAAAGTAGTACAAAACAAAGTGGCAATTATCATTAAGGAATTGTTATTAGCACTCTAAAAATTTCATTTGGCACTCCAAACGCTCTATAATTAGAAAGAAAAATACATTTGTGAGGAGTGTATAATGAGATTTTTAGAGTGCTAATAACAATTTCCTTATCATTACCATGCCATGCCAATCAAACTATTTGGCATACCAAAAGTTTGATACGGTAATGATAATGAATTTTGCCAAACTGAAAGTTTGGTATGGTAATCAGTATGGAGTTTTGGTACGGTAACCGTACCCGAACCCACCTCTAAGGTATAGTTACAAGTTTTAGCAAGAAACTGAGAGATTTTTTTTTCATATTAGTCCTTGAAAACTTTTTTTATATTTCAAACTAGTCATTAAAATCTTTAAAAAGTGTGTTGACCCTAAAAACTACTAAGCCTACGTGGTGCGCAGGCCGAGTAATCTATGAGCTAACTACGTCATTCGATTGAATACAGGGCTTGCCAACTCGTCGGCCAAGTTCGGCCGAGGAGTAAAATGTGTTGATGTTGCGTTAGGTGCACAACTAACTTCTTTGTCTTGCGATTGCAACCGAGGAAGGAACACGTCTTGGCCTCTTGGGTTCTCGAACCTAAAGACAAGGCTATTATTCTTACGAAGTTCACAAATCGTCGTCGTCGGATCTGGTCACAGTGATGGTATTCGTCAGAGTAAACTCACGTCGAATCGACACCAAAGTGTAAGGGCACAAATACTCAAAGCGGATATAAGTCTTAACAGTAAACGTGGTTCGCCCGTCAAAGTGCCAAACTCTAAATCTCACTTGAGAGTATCCAATCATAAAATAACTCGACGTGCAATATGCCTAGCCCAATAAACTGTAACACCTCACTTCACCGAGAAGGCTAATGAGATGACCTCGACCAATAAGGATTCGGAAATCCTTCTCGACTGAGACTTGGATAGATAACCAGTCGCCCTCGACGCAATGCTGTCTATGCCGACTGAAGATGTTGCGAGACTGGCTGATTCTACGGCAACAGTGCTGTTTATGCCAACTGAAGATATCACCAGTGGCCTTCACAGTACTGTTTATCCAAACTGAAGGTGTGTAGGCGAAAAGAGAAAAGAAAAAATCTCAAGGTTGTGGAGAGAATTTGCGCAAGGCAGTTGTGTGTTGAATTGGAGGGAGGCTTGAATAATGCACAACCTCCTTTATTTATAGCATCAGGTCCTCTCTGGATCGAGTTAAAACCCTACTCGGATTAGGACTTCTTATTCTAATTAAACACAATCTCGACCAGTCATATTTTCACTATGACTTTGAACCCAGTCCTGTATCAAGCCGCATTCACTTCCGGGTTATCAATATTTTTATCTTGCCGAGACTCCTTATTGTGCCAGGATTCAATTACTCGTCCTGCAGCAAGACTTGGCCGACCTAGGCTAAGAAGCCCATGAACTAGACGATCCACAATAACCTTTCGTAAGACCTTTCGGGCCGAGAATAAAACTCGGCCCAAACCATCATTTTGGGCCCAAACAGAGTGTCAATTGAGGTCAACTAGTGATTTTTATTACAAAAGTAGACATAAGCAGTAATCACATGCAAGTGTAGGTATAGGTCAGCCATTAGGTCACTTTTGAAAAAATTGAAAACCCATCGAAATCAAACCTATTGGTTAGATTTTTCTTCGTTCTCAAATCAATATTTGCTTGAGAAGAACTAAAAATCGATTGATATAATTAGTTATTGATTATAGGGAAATTTTATTTAAACCCATCTAACATATTTCTACACACAACTTACTCTTTGCACCCATTTGATTTTTAACTAAACTATTAATATCTCTTTAAACCCAAATTTAATACCTAATATACCCCTATAAACCCAATTCAATATGTGGATTTATTTTTACACCCATTTCTTCAACAATTGCTTCAAAGTTTTTTTTTTTTCGAAGAATGAAAAATGTAATAGCTTTATTCTCAATTATTTTATTCAAGCAAAGTAGATGAACAAATATATATATATCAAGGCAATTCACATATTCCTCGACTCGAGAATCATATCAAGCCATGCAGCACTCTTAGTCCTTTATTTTCTGAAAAGCTTTCAATTGTAAAATGATTGAATTCAAATGCACTCATACAAACAAGTAAAATGATTGAGGCAGGGGCTTGCACGCACTTCACTTTCATCATTGAGAACTCTTTTCATGAGATACAAATCACAAAATTCTGTGATCTCCAAGAGTACTTCCAACACTGAGTAACTCACAGTTACTTGTTTCTGCCAGGAACAATGTTAAAAGGCAATGGTAATCCTTTTTCAATTACAATTTCTATCGGAAAGATGTTGCTGGAAAGAAAAGTAGACCACCTGAAGTTCCTCTGGGGTACTTTCCTCAAGGACTACTCCGAGTAAACGACAAGTTACCTACAGATAAGCTTAAAAGGGTGAATTGGTTGATTCAAATTGTCACCCATCACCCCTATAAAAATCAAACAAATTCTCGGGATATTAAATTATTTCACAGGGTATCATATACCAATTATTAGCCATTATTGAACATTTGAAGCTTAGCAGTTTTAATCGTGAAGTATAGAAACATCTAAAAGTAAAACCCAGAGGTTCCATAACTTCACCACGAAATTTTCACAACATGCAGGTGCCTGCTGCTTTGGTTGCCTTCTTTGTGGTCCACTGCGTGATCTAAGCAGCCTCCATGTGAAAACTATTGCAACAGCAAATCCCGTGATGGCCCCAATGGAACGTGAATTCTGACACCATTTAAAATTTCTCGAGAGAACTCAACTTTACCATCTCCATTCGAACACAACTTTGATACTTAAATGCCAAAGATGAAGCAACAGACTGGGATAATCCCAAAAGTGATGTACTGATACTAATCGCAAGGCAATTCACATATTCCTCGACTCGAGAATCATATCATGCCATGCAGCACTCTTAGTCATTTATTTTCCGAAAAGCTTTCAATTGTAGGGTTTAATTATAGTGTTTGGGTTTATTGATAAATTTGAGATTTATTATTAATTTCATTTTGTAGTTAATAGTAATTACGTAATAGGGTAAAATAGACAATTAATATTCAAAATTTTAAAGTTGGGTGTAAAAAGAGGTTGTATGGGTTTAAATAAAATTTCCCTTGACTATAACAATTGATCACTCATATCTCTTCCTCCTTAACATGTATAAACGTTTTACATTGTCAGCTATTGGTCGTCCGTCCTAAAATAATCTCAAATAGATAGTTTGATGAGGTGTGCAGCTTTGCCCTAAGTCATAGCCAACTCATACAACTTTCATGAGCGTTACCCTGACCCATTTTTTCTCTCACCCTCCTCTCACAACCCTCTTAATCTGGTTCCCCTACGAAGGACCTTCTCGTGATCGGGGTATCAACATATGTAGCAAAATCCGAAATGATATTGTAAAAGTTCAAAGGCGAATCTGTAATTAACCCTAGATAAATATATGGCTGCTTGAAAACAAAGGCGAATCTGTTCACAGAGAAAATGAGGAAGAATTGTTTTATGGAGCTGAATCGGGTTGGGTCGAAGCCCGAGCATCATGCGATCACCTTGCTTCCCTGTCCTCTAATCTCGCTCACATTCCCACTCCTGATACTGCCTGCAATAGGTTCCTATTTTTTTCTTCTCTGAGATTTGATCTTTTCTTTTTTTAATTGTTTGTTGATTGATTTGTGCCAAGTTTACCCAGTTCTTAATTCAGCTTCTGATCACTTAATATTTTTACTTAAAGAGCATATACTCTTGCACCCGAAGTCCCGAGTTCGATCCCCCTTGGCTGGTAGCTTGGTAAGATATGCAAAAATAAGATAAAAACTATAAAATTCTTACCCACAAGGAATCTTAATTACATTCTTTTTTCGGTTAGCAAGGGGGAGTTGCATCCGTATTCGTAGCTAATTATTGAAAGTGTGATGATCGAGGTGCCTCATCTACAGCATGATGGTGTACTAGTTTAAATGAACTGTAGTATCTTCCTTAGAGGCGACAAAAATCGTAAAATCTTATAATTTACGATCAATTCATTCAATATTTCCTTTTTTAAAGGACAAATTCCCACATTTAAATTATGTATCGATGTACTAATACCCTACCCTCAATCCGTAGAGTACATTGAATGTATTTTGTGTACTTCGCAGAAGACCATATCACCAATTTGAACTTTTGTACCATCGTTGCTTAGTTGTAATAGGGATAGAAAGGAAACTCGGCCTAGTTCGAAGGCGATCATTCTTTTCTTAAAGTGTTTTTTGCTTGTTTATTCCAAGTGCCATTGATAAAAAAAAGAACTTCAAACGAAAGAAAATTTCAAAGTTTTGTCATGGAATAAAATCTTGAAATAGTTGAAATACAAAGATGTGTAGCATGCTTCTGTTGATTCTTTATGCTTTACATTGATAAAAGTCCAAGCGCCTGATTCCTGAATCATACCTAACGTCTTTAATCTGGGGGAACAGTTTTCGTATTATACTAGATGCCAGCACCCCAATGAGAACTGGTTATGTTTGTGCTGTAAGGACGTCCTCTGCAGCCGCTACGTGAACAAGCACATGCTTCAGCATTATCAGCGGGCAAATCGTTGTCTTGCTCTCAGCTATAGCCTATAGGTACAATTACCAATGCCTTCTCCTAAGGCATCCGCAAGTCTTTTTCTTTACTTTTATAGCGTTATTTTTACAAAGTTGCCGAGGTTTACATTTCGTGCAGTGACCTATCCGTCTGGTGTTTTTCCTGTGTTGCATATTTAGATGCTCAACTGATCCCACGACTGCGGCCTGTATATGAAACTGCCTACATTCTGAGATTTGTCGAGGCCCCGCCATTCCGTACGGTTTAATAGCCAACATGGCACATAATCTAACTGAGGGTTTAGATCTGGAAGTCAAATTGTCACACTAATCTTGTGGGAGGTTTTTTTTCTGTCGTTTCGTTATTTTTCGAAGGAGCAGATGGTCTCGGATGAGGTGTTTTTAAAGATATGTTCTTATCAATGTTTATTACTGCCGTGATGACCATGAGTAAGGTTATGTTCAAATAGTTGGTTCTCACATATTGTCCATATGCCTTTGGATTCTTTACTTTCGAAAGTTAGGATCCTTGAATCTGGTTGAAAGGCTGGTTTTCTAGACCATTGTTTCATCAAGCAAAGCTCATAATTTTGACCGATTTGTCAAAAGTTCATGAGGACGTTCGCTATACCAAACCGACACATCTCGACCAAATTAGCCTTCCAGCTAAGGGTGGCAATGTGATGGCCATCACTAAATTGACGGTAAAATTCAACCATAGAGGTGACGAAATAATATCAACTTAATGACGAAAACATAAGTAAGGAAATTGTGATGTGAATTATTTTGAACCGAAAGACTCATTTGTTATTTATTTAATCTATCATCTGAGTTCCTTGCACAATCTCCCCACGAGGGGACACAATCTAAAACTAAGTTCCATTTTTACAAGATGTCACATCCATCAGAGCATAACTACTAAAACCGCAAAGTATGCGTTGTGCTATTTATAATCAACTGTAAGGATATGTAGCGAGATCAAGTTGGACTAATCTCGCTTTGTTGGATTCTTTGTGCATAGCTTGATAATAGCATGACAATGTTTGCTAATAATGAAAGGATTTAAAAGATGTAAATGGTCCTGTAAATATGAATTTTATCTGCAACTCATGAAATTCCTTATATGGAAGTTGATTACAATCAGTGATTTGTGCAATAATACCATCCACTCTAATCATTCAACCCTAGTCCACAAAGTACTTAAAATGCATTGTCGCCAAAATCTCCGGTAATTCCTAGTAGATCGCAAGCACGCTGTTCACACTCTAACTTGCCCCAGCGTGCATCAACGCGTTCACAGGGGAACACCGGTTTGTTAAGGCTGCATCAACTCCGCATATTAGATCTCAAAAGAATAAAATTTGCTAGAATATAAACATTATCCGGTTTCTGTGATTACAAACCAGGACAGTTACAGAACTTACCTTCTATTAACTGTATTATGCACATGACACAGCCACTGGGAGAACTCAGCATGCGATCCAGCCTGTACAGGATTTGATCTGCCAAACACGTATACATCTATAAGTTCACAATTATACCAGAGGGGCATCGTACGACTGCAGCATTTGAATCACATTTAATTATTTAATAGCGAATGACCCTATGACGTAGTTGAGAACTACTACGAGGAACTAGATTAAAACCAAAATGATGAGCAAAGTTGAAACGAAGATGAAATTTTGAACCTCAGAATTTCTTGAAAGTGATCTGCACATTCCTTGCAGGGGTACATCCGTGATAATATCGACATCTGCATGGTAAACGCCATCAAAATGAGTTGGTCCGACTGCCTAATCTAGTTCTTCTACATTGTGTAATATCAGTTTCAGAACTAAACATGGCCGCGTATTACGAACAAAATCATCTGCAAAAATATATAAAGAAATTTCGTTTTGTTTTTCTCTGCATAACTCACTTAAAATTCTGATGAGACTCCATCCAAAAGAAATAAGAAAGTAAGAGTGCATAAAATTTTCTGTGTATATTTATATTTATATGGGGAGAGAGAGAGAGAGAGAGAGAGAGAGAGAGAGTAGCATACCAGTTCCTTTACATCCTTCTTCTGTTGCCTTGTCGGTTTATCTGGATACTGAAAATTTCGAAAAGGTCTTAACGAAGTTAATCTACATTAAACAACTAATAGCTGAATATCATTTTGGGAGTTGCAATGCCATGCGCAAAAAGGAAGAGACTCAGAGAATGGCAGAGGCAAATAGAGCTTTTGCACATTTTCGTTAATCCATGAACAAGATCTATATAGACACAGACCCATGGATCCATACATCTCGATTGGAAAAGAATCAATAGAAAGGAAAGAATTGGAATTGATCGATATATTTCTCAAAACAAACGAAAAGGGAATGAAAGACGAAACATAAATCGTGGATCAACTAATTGTTTAAGAAGTGTTGTGATCAAGTGCAGAAGAAGCAGTTGTACAATAGTAATTTTCTAGCAATCTGGTTTTTTTAGCAAGTAGTTAGACTAGGTACCTAGCCCAGATGAGGGTAATCACACATACAATACTAAACAAATTTACAGCACGTTGGATAATTACTACAAACTACTTCCTTTACCTGAGCAGCAAGAGTGTGAAGAAACGTCCAAGTGGATCTTCCGAGTTCTTCTTTAGTCAAAGGAGAAACCGATTTTCCCTGAATATAAGGAATCGATTAAGATTTACCAACAATTCAATTTCGTTTTGAAATCCTAAATAACTTTTGACTGAATAATATGGCTTGAAAACGTCATGGAAGCTAACTATGGACTGCAAGAAGTGAAAGAGGAGTCACAATATAGGTGGCCTTCTCAGAAGCTAAACCCTATAAACCAAACCTGCATACATTCCCCAAAAAAAAACTATACCATCTTTCCCTTTATCTATAGAATTAATGATGATAATAACAAGAAAACGATTCAACCCAGTCAGCGATTAAGCCGATCCTAAGTTGCTGCAACCACAAACCTCACCCGAACCCTACATTTACGTACACAATCCACCGAACAAAAGCGCCAGATAAAATCATATTTCAATAGGATTCACTCTATTCGAATTAGAGAAGAAGCCACATGCATTGATATTTGTATTTGATACGTACAAATCCGCATCAGACTCTCGTTGAGGACTTTTATCGAATACTTTCCGTACTATCCATATCTCATAAGATAAACATGGATGTCCAATAAGGGCTGCAACTTTAAGAACAAAAACACTGCAAATGAGTGAGTTTGAAGATTATAGACGAGCAATAGTACCATTTTCGTGCTGAGGATATCTTTAGGCTGGGATTGGGCGGAGCCATTGTCTGATGAGCCTGCCACTTTGGAGGAGGAAGAGAGGAGGCGTTTTTGGGCGGTGGGTGATGGCTCGTGAGAGTGGGCGATGAGATTCGAGAGTTGGGTTTGAATCGAATTGGAGACTTTTGCAAAAGTTTGAAAGAGGGCGTGGAATGGATGCTCCGACATCTTCATACACATCGACAGGGGGAATATGTGGCGGGAAATAAGGTTGCTCTCATTGTTTCTAGGGTTTGTAATGACGGCTCTCTCTACGTATGTTTTCAATTTTTTTGGTAAGTTCTTTTTTTATTTTTTGTCAACCTCAATTTTCTTCTTAATTTATGCGAAACCGTATGGTAAGTTTTTAGTTTTAATTTTTTTTTCTAGATGAGCTGTCAATTTGGTCTCTGAATTATTATTCGAGTGAAAATTAAGTTATATGTATTATGTTTTTTTTATTAAAAGTCCATAAACTCATTACAAACAACCAATTCCGTTAAATTTAGATTTTAAGTCCATAAACTCATTACAAACAACCAATTCTCTGTTAACTTACTCATGTGACTTACACATGACATATCTAAAATGATAAAATCGCCATTTCATATAGACTATTTGAACGACGTTTCTCCCCTAGATCCATCCTGTAACAAACTTGCCGAAGCACAAATTATTAACAAATGATGAGTGTTACAAGAGGGGGAATGCTTGGGTATTCATTGGAGAGTACCCAATATATTGACTTTGTTATGTGGAGCAATTACAAACCGACATGAGTTCTTTTTAACCGACAAAAAAACTTAACTAAAACTAGCTGTCAATTTAGTCTCTGAATTATTATTCGAGTGAAAATTAAGTTATATGTATTATGTTTTTTTTTTTTAAAAAAAATCCATAAACTCACTACAAACAGCCAATTTTCTGTTAACTTACTCATGTGACTTATACATGACATATCTAAAAAAGATAAAATCGCCATTTTATATAGACTATTTGAAAGACGTTTATCCCCTAAATTCATCCTGCAACAAACTTGCTGAAGCACAAATTATTAACAAATAATGAGTGTTACATGAGGGGAAATGCTTGGGAAGTACCCAATATACTGACTTTGTTATGTGGAGCAATTACAAACCGACAAGAGTTCTTTTTAACCGACAAAACAATTTAACTAAAACTAGTTGCCAAACATTCACTATTCTAGTATCTAAACATCGTTTTTCTCCCCCTCCAACCATTGTCAGGCTTTCCTCTTCACCATCGTCCTTGCCGATCGGTACCCCCCACCCCTTCCACCACCCCTCCTCCTCTTCATCTCCTCTCTCTCTCTCTCTCTCTCTCTCTCTCTCTCTCTCTCTCTCTCTCATAATAACTTGGGAGATGTAGTGGGCTTGGGTCATCAGAGCAGAGATGATTGAGGATGAGTCACCGAAGAAGAGACAGAGTGCGGTGAATGATGTTCGTTGGAGATGGAAGGCTAGGCAAGGGAGAAGAAGAGTGTTTGGATAATAGAATAGTGAATGTTTGGCAACCAATTTAGTTTGGTGCTTATGACTTAACATGGACACGTATCGTTTTTTAAACAAAGTCAGTATATTGGTACTCTTCAGTGAGTAGTCAAGCATTATCCTTACAAGAAAAATCTTAGCATACCAATTACGACTAATTAATTACTACTTTGACTTCTACACTTCAAAAAATAAAAAATAAAAAATCCACTTGCTAAGGAATCCAAATGTCTATTAAGATTATTTTATTACATTAGTTAATTATATCCAATTAGATTTGGGGTAGCTACTTGCATATAGCCCAGATGTCGTTATAATTTGTTGGATCGTCTCTGTCCTTTCGTTCTCAAGTCCATATGCTAACATTACTATGTGAGCGTTGATATGCTTAGGGCTGGTTTGGTATTGCTGTGCTTTGAAAAAAAGCTGCTGTGAGAATAAGCGGCTGTGCTATGAGAATAAGCGGCTGTGAAATAAAGCCAGTAGAGTGTTTGGTAAACGTTTTTGTGAAAGTGCTTTTGCAAAAAAAAATCAGGATGATAGTGTGTCTTTTCATTAAAGGAGCACTGTAGCTCCGTGTGCTTTGAAAAAACTGGCTTTTTTTCAAAGCAGCAAATAGCAGCTTCAGCTTTTCCTTTGATTTTCAGCTTATTCTCATAGCAGCTTCCAAAATAAGCCATTTTTTTTTAGTTTACCAAACACAAAAATGACCCTCAGTTTTTTTTCACAGTGGTTTTTTTTAAAATCACCTTAATCCCAAACGGGGCCTTATTCTTCTGTCTTGTACTCTCACTAGTTTTTAATAAAAATATTAATGGCATATTATCCTCTTGGAAACGACTTTAAACCCCCTATTTAATTAATTACTAAAATTTTGAAAAAAAAAAGTAATTTAAAATAATAAATAAATATTGGTGGGTAGGGTGTGAGATCTGCAAGAAAGAAAGGTTGGGACGAGGAAGGAATTGGTGTGTGCTCGACGGAGGCTAGAAACTTTGGTGGGTCAATTTTTCGAGCACATCAATACATGAAGTGTCCTAAAGTAGGAAGGAGTTCATGACGATATTTCTTTTCGAAGGCGTCCCGACAATCAGCCACTCACAAAACAAAAAAAAAAAAAAAACCTCTTGCCTCAATCCATCCTGCAACAAAACTTGCCGAAGCACAAATTATTAACAAATGATGAGAGCAACTCCACCGTGAGAACCCCCTCAGGCTATTCACTATTTAATCCACCTAGTGAACAGTAACAACCCTTAATGAACAATAACTGCCTTTTGTATCTCCATCGTTGCACTTGAATAGTCCTGGCAATAGGCAATAAAATATTATTTAAAAAAAAAATTTATGTGTAATTTCAGATAAGATTTTTAATTGTTCGCGTTGCGCCACGTATCATTATTCGAAAAGACAATTATTGGTGATGAATTTCTATAAGATTTTTATCCAATGCCGTTGTGCCACGTGTCGTTACCTTTTCAGAATTTTTTAGGATAGATTTCGATCAAATTTTAAATCGTTCTCGTTGCGCCACGTGTCATTATCCGAAAAGATAATTATTGGTGATGGATTTCGATAAGATTTTTATCCAATGCCGTCGTGCCACATGTCGTTACCTTTTCAGAATCTTTGACGATAGATTTCGATCGGATTTTTAACGAATGACGGCATACCACGTGGCACTATCTACAACCTACTCCTTTCTAAATCCTCCATATAATTCATCATCCATCATCTGAAATCTCACACCAATTTTCTCAAGATCTCTATCATTATTCATAGTTTCTGCTTCTTTCTTCACCAAAATCAAAATCTGTATCATCATTCATAGTTTCTGCTTCCTTCTTACAATGTCTTCTTCCTCAAGGATGATGTGGGAAATCGAGCAGCAAGAGGAATAATTGTTTAACCAATCAGAAGGAATGTTCAATCTCCAAGTGGCCCAAAATGAGATGGAAGCGGATGAAGAGCTTAGAATGAGAGATGATGAAGTAAGAATAGCTAGAGCCTCACATTCCCGTCGAGTCATCCAAGCTATAGCTCAGATCTCCAGGCCTAGTCGTTCCGGAAACCTTGATAGAAACAGGCAATGACGAGGTGCAAAGCTCTTAGACGATTATTTTGTCTGTAACAGTGCATTCCCTGATACGTACTTCAGACGTTGTTTAAGAATGGAACGACATTTGTTCAACAAAATCATGATTGCTGTTTGCAACCATGATTCTTACTTTGTGCAAAAGAATGATGCTTTTGGTGCTATGGGTCTCATTCCTGAGCAAAAAATTACTGCTGTAATGCAGATGCTTGCATATGGAGTATCTGCAGACCAAGTGGATAAGATAGTAAGGATAGGGCATTCAACCATTCTTGAGTCTCTGATGAGGTTTTGCGGAGCAATCGAATCTATCTACACGCAGAGTATCTCCGGAAACCTACTAACATGGACCTGCAATGGCTTCTGAAGAAGGTCGAGATGCAAGGTTTTCCTGGTATGATTGGAAGCATCGATTGTATGCATTGGACGTAGAATTTGGAGACTTTCCTTCTAAAGGCGTGTTCATAATTCACGATCTAGTTGAGCCATTCTTTCTTCTCTAACTTGTTCCCTTTCTTGCCTAAGTAGCTCTCGTTCCCTCTTATTAGCTTAAAATGCTCTCTCAACAGCTGTAGCTTTTACCTCCTCTTTAGCCTTATCAGCCTCAAATTTCGCCATTTCCCGCGCCAAAGTCATTTCACCTTGGCGAGCAAGTTCTTCCATATACTTTGCGTAATCATTCTTGGAAGCACTCCCTTTTCTCTTTAAAGCATTCTTACCTTGAGGCCTAATTGGATAACGGGTCGACCCTGACGCTTGTTCAGGGGGGCGTTTTAGACACTTCTTCTACATCATCTTCATCAATATGCGAGGCATGATCGAGTGTAGAGTGTAGAAGGGTGCTGTTCATGAAAACTTCTAGACCGACAGGCACAACTCTGAATTTAGGACAATCTTTGATAATATTCCAACATTCCCACCGAGTGGAAGATTTGTTTTTGCTTTTGCTTTTGGCATTATACCAAGCTTGTGCTTGAAGTTCCTACACAATGTGGGAGAAGAAATAATTATAATGAAAGTAGGTAACAAATAAATAATACAAACAAATAATTATAATCAAAGTAGATAACAAATAAATAATACAAACAAATAATTATAATGAAAGTAGGTAACAAATAAATAATAGAAACAAATAATTATAATGAAAGTAGCTAACAAATAAATAATACAAACAAATAATTACAATGAAAGTAGGTAATGTGACATCCCGTCCCGAAATACTTTATCCTCGATAGCGTGAAGTGACGGTTATGCCCTTGTGCGTTGAGTTGAGATTGTATTATTGGGCCAAGAAAAGGGATCAATTAGTTCTATTCCTAATTAATTGGACCCAATTAGAACTAAAGGACTTAAGGTTTTGTTTGATTGGCTACAAACTGGACCACACTCACACACCCTCACTCTCCCGTTGACTTCCTTTCTCTCTCTCCCTCTCGATCATTTTCATCTGTCCGTACTAGGGGTGGGTTCGGTTTAAATCGGTTCGGTTTTTTGCCAAAACCGAAACCAAACCAAAATTTCGGTTCGGTTCGGTTCGGTTCATTTTTTTTTCGATTTTTTCGGTTCGGTTTTTTTTCGGTTCGGTTTTTTCCGGTTCGGTTTCGGTTCGGTTTCGGTTTTTTGTTTTTTTTTTTTCAAAAAAATGAAAAACATTGAAATTTTAAATTTTAACATATCCAACACAATCATAACATAAGCATTCTAACTA